GTTTGTGACAAATGAAAGAAAAAATATTTGGAACTATTAATTATATTTGATTGTAATTTGAAAATAGATATACATTGTATTACATCATATCTAATTTTAGAGAACTATTAATCATATCTAATGTTAGAGTGTTATAGGTTTTCCACAGTTTTTTTTCATCATGCTTGAAGATATTGATTGACAATTGGTATATAGTTTTATCATGGCAAATTACAGATCAAGTTCAAATTTTTGTTTCGGTCTGAAAATTTTGTGCAGAGTTATGGTCCTTGGACTTGAAAAAATTCACTCATATATTCAGTTTTCCACACTGTTTTTAGTCATGCTTGAAGATATTGACTTGATATTTTCTTTTTGTTTTACACCATGACAAGTTATAGAACAAGTTAGCATTTTGTTCCAGTAAAATGAATTTTTACCCGGTAGGGGACTATGTATTGCCATGCAATACTCTCAGAATGATTGTTTACTTCAGCATTTATTTTGCGTTTATATCTATCTATTTATATTTATCAAAAGCTGTACATTATCCAAAAATTAGATTAACTAATGTAACTGACTAAAATGATAACTGATTGATTTCTTTTTTATGAAACTTATATCATAGGTTTATATCAGCAATGGCTCGGACAAGTTCGAAAATTCTGACGGGACGTATTATGGTATACAAATGTCGTCTGTCCGTCTGTCCATCTGTCAGTCTGTCTGTCCGGCGTAAACATGCGCACCGTAACTTGAGAACGACTTATCCAAATTTCATGAAAATGAACATAGATATAAGAAGATGTGGTATGAGTGCCAATGAGACAAATCTCCATCCAAGTCAAAATTTATAAAAGTAAACCATTATAGGTCACAGTACGGTCTTCAACACGGAGCCTTGGCTCATACCGAACAGTAAGCTATAAAGGGCCCCAAAAATTACTAGTGTAAAACCATTCAAACGGGAAAACCAACGGTCTAATCTATATAAAAAAACGAGAAACGAGAAACACTTATGAACCACATCAACAAACGACAACTACTGAACATCAGATTCCTGACTTAGGACAGGTGCAAACAAATCAGCGTTTTTAATGTTTTAATGGTACCAAACCTTCACCCTTTTTCTGAAACAAAAGAGCTGTTTCTTATGATGGTCAAACGATCTGTATACTTTTTGGTGAAAATAAGATTAAAACTTTTTGAGTTACGGGACTTAGTAACTAAAACAGGTGTGTTTTTTTTTCACATGTCGCGCCTTATCTCAAAAACAATTTATGATTATTGCTTAAAACTTTAAACACTTCTAAGTTATGTTAATCTTAAGATCTGTATACTTTTTGGTGATGATTCAAAATTTTATTTTTGAGTAATGGGGTGTTTTGTAAAAAAAGGGGGAGGGATTTTTCACATGTCGCGCCGTATCTCAAAAACGATTTATGAGTATTGCTTAAAATTTTACACACTTCTTAGTTATATTAATCTAAAGACCTGTATACTTTTTGGTTTTGATTCAAATTTTTTTTTTAGAGATATTGATTTTTTTTTTAGAAAAGGGGGGTTTTCACATGTCGCGCCGTATCTCAAAAACGATTTATGATTATTGCTTAAAATTTAACACACTTCTTAGTTATAATAATCTAAAGATCTGTATACTTTTTGGTTTTGATTCAAATTTTTATTTTAGAGATATTGAGTTTTTGTCTAGCCTGCGACTTTTGTCGCAGAAAAAAGTCGCAGAAAGCTCGACATAGGGATAGTGATCCGGCGGCGGCTACGGCGGCGTTAGCTAACTTCTTAAAAGCTTTATATTTTAGAAGGTGGAAGACCTGGATGCTTTGTATATAGATGCCTTATGTTACGAAGTTTCCGTATGTCACATGTCCATTGTCCTTGACCTCGTTTTCATGGTTCAGTGACTACTTGAAAAAAAAGTGATTTTTTGTAATGTTAATTTCTCTCTTATTATGAGTAATAGGATAACTATATTTGGTATGTGCGTACCTATCAAGGTCCTCATGCCCATCAGACAGTTTTCACTTGACCTCGACCTCATTTCATAGATCAGTGAACAAGGTTAAGTTTTGGTGGTCAAGTCCATATCTCAGATACGTTAAGCAATAGGTCTAGTATATTTGGTGTATGGAAGGATTGTGAGGTGTACATGTCCAGCTGGCAGGTGTCATCTGACCTTGACCTCATTTTCATGGTTCAGTGGTTATAGTTAAGTTTTTGTGTTTTGGTCCGTTTTTCTTATACTTTATGCAATAGGTCTACTATATTTGGTGTATGGAATGATTGTAAGGTGTACATGTCCAACTGGCAGGTGTCATCTGACTTTGACCTCATTTTCATGGTTCAGTGGTCAAAGTTAAGTTTTTGAGTTTTGGTCTTTTTTCTTATACTACATGCAATAAGTCATAATACAACTATATTTGGTGTATGGAAATATTCTATGATGCACATGTCAATCTCGCAGGTTTTATTTGACCTTGACCTCATTTTCACGGTTCATTGCTCAGTGTTAAGTTTATGTGTTTCAGTCTGTTTTTCTTAAACTACAAGCACTCTTGTTTATAAAAAAGGGGGTTTTTTGCATGTCGCACCGTTTGTCAGAAACTATTTATGATTATTGCATAAAAATTCACAAACAATACGACGGGCGTCTCATGCGCTCATGGCGCAGCTGTTTATTTAAAAGTGTTATGCCCCTTGGAAACATTAATTATATGGAAAATCGCATTGTTAGCGGATCATGTGTACAATTCTTGCCAGATTTTTATAAAACTTATATCACAGGTTTATATCACCAATGTCTCGGACCAGTTTGAAAATCAGTGCCGATCAATTAGTTAAAAAAGGGTTGCGCCCCTTGGAAATATTAATTATATGGAAATTTGCATTGTAAGCACTCTCAAGTGTACATTTTTTGTCATATTTTTTTAGTCCCCTACCGACGAAGTCGAAAGGGACTTTAGGTTTGCACTCTGTCCGTCTGTCTGTCCGTACTTCCGTCTGTCCATCCGTCAGTCCGGCAAATCAGTTTTCCACACTTTTTTTCTTCGTCCTTGAAGATATTGATTAAATATTTGGTATATAGTTTTATCATGACAAGTTACAGATCAAGTTCAAATTTTGTTCAGGGTCTGATAATTATGTGCAGAGTTATGGTTCTTCGACTTTGAAACTTCACTCAAATATTCAGTTTTCTGCACTTTTATTCGTCATGCTTGAAGATATTGATTTAATAATTGGAACATTGTTTTATCATGACAAGTTACAGATCAAGTTCGAATTTTGTTGTGGTCTGATGATTTTGTGCAGAGTTATGGTCCTTGGACATAGAAAGTTCACTCAAATAATCAGTTTCCCACACTTTTTTTCGTCATGCTTGAAGATATTGACTTGATACTTGTTATATAGTTTACAACATGACAAGTTATAAATCAAGTCAGCATATTGTTCCAGTACAATTAATTTCTAACCGGTAGGGGACTATGTATTGCCATGCAATACTCTCAGAATGCTTGTTCAAATTTTTATCAAAGATTTATTTTAGCAATGTCTGGGACAATTTTGAAAATCAGTGCAGATCAAATATTTTTAAAAGAGTTATGCCCCTTGGAAATATGAATTATATATGAAATTGCATTGCATTTGCTCTCAAGCCTTCATTTCTCTAATATATTTATAAAAAAATTTAAGAACAAAAAAAGAAATAGTTTGTTTTTTTTAGTTATTGCCCTTGGAAAGATACATAATGTGCAACGCGGGGGACATTGGAACTCTGTTCTTTAATTTATACTCACTTCTGCGTTAATCATAGCATCATTTATGACTTCACTTTTTCTAGGCAAACTATATAGCTCTAAAAAATTAAAGCTAAAATTAAGCACACAATGTCATTCCCTAAACCAAAATTTGCAAGGTGTTGACCCTTCTAGAATTTCAACCAATTTTAAACTATAAAAACTGCATATAAAGCAGTATTGCAAGCATTTACCCTAAATCTACTTTTAAAAAGTATAATTCTTGCTTTGAGTTGCTGTCTCATATACATAAACCTTAACTTCAATTCTTAATAAATACATGGTTTTAGTTAGTTATTATCTAAGTAAGATGAGAAGAGTACTGATATATACAAAAACTAATTTCTGAACAATTATTTATTAAAAGAATATAAACATATAAATTTTTTTTAAAACAAGGCAACTTGGGACTTATACAACTGTACAGTAGAAACCTGTCTTCATATGCAAAGGGAGATTATTCTAGCTAAATCTTTAAATTTGGAATTGAGATGAATTGTTGTATAGATTGACCAAACATTTTGGTATCGAAATTGCCAAATACAGATGCATGCATGTGTTGAGTATTAAAATCTGAAAGTCAGTGGTATCTGCTTGCCTATGATATCTGCAAATTGTAAGAATTTGACACATATAAGCTTGCTGCTACAGGGCTTACTATTATTGTCACTTATACTACGCATGGCAATTATTGCACCAATAAGTTATCATCGTTTTTCTCCATTTAAAAAAAAAACTATTTCAATCGCAAATAACTAATAATTAGGGTAAAATGAACTTATCTGAAACTAAATTATATTTTTTTTTATTAAAATCCAATCACTTTACTCCCGATTTTTCGAGAAGTACAATAATAATTAGGATCAAATCTCATCTTTAATCATGATGTAAGAAGCCTTTCTAGGTTTATGTCATACTGAAACATAATGGGAAATTTCCAGAAGTAGGTGATGATTTCACGCAATGTATTGTAAGATAGTCATGAGTTACAGAAAAGCTATGAGATTAACTTTTGACCATATTATGTGCATTGGACAATGAAAATCTCTCTAAAATAACAGTTTTCCACTTTGTTTGCAATCTTCTGTTTGTAGATATTTAGCTAATATTTGGTTTATAATTATATAATATTGGAATACAGATCACACATGCGTTTTGCATATATTAATATCTATTAATTTCTAATATTTGTATTTTTCTGTATTGCAGACAAGTGCACAAGGACTTGAATATGCAGACCTAACCTTTAGCCAAATTGCAACAAAGAATAAAAAACAGGTAATCCATGGAAATGATGAAAGAACCATCTATGCTGATGTTGACCACACCAAGAAAGCTCCACTCCCACCACCAGAAAGCGAATATGAGGAGACAAACATCAAACATGGCAAAATGGCACAGTAAATGTGGATGTATGCTTATAAACATATCTTTATATAATTTAATGATTAATAGTATTATTGCTCTTTGCTTTAGTCTTTTTTGATAAAACAGCTACTTAAGATAAGATTGATTTTATGTTTTGTACTAGTTATAGTTTGATTGAAGTATTTATATATTATTTTGGTTTTATTCACATGGTAGTCTTTGATTTTTATAATTTAAAAATATAATAATTATCTTCCAAGACAGTTAATTTACAAATTTTGTATGCATGTACCCTTTGCAGAAATCGCCCCAATAAAGCCTGTTGCTGCCTAAAGAAACCATCAATCAATCAATCAATCCTCTCAGAAAGGTTCTCTTTTAACCAATGTAAGTTATCGAAGAGGCTATACCCAATGCAATACCATAATTTGCCTAGGCCAATGTGTTGGAAGTTAGTCATTTTTGTTGTACTATTTGTATCCATCTGTTATGCCTGCAATAGGAATTTTACACGCCTTTATTTCCAAGATGTTTTTTTTATGAATAGTTAGCATTAGAGTCAAACGGCAAAGATGGATATGTGATAAAAGCCTATATTTGACCAATGGAATAAGGGAAACAAACAGAGATTCTATGTTTCTAGAATTAATGAGATTTATACGTAAGACCGAAATGTTAGGTCTTAGCTAAATACTTAAAACATTTCTATCAAAACCATAACAATTATACTGCCAGATGAATCATTTAAGTGCAAATGTTAAAATTCAATAGAAAATCACCATTGTGATAATTATGTTACAGTTGGTACATCTGTCCAAAAATGTTTACGTATGAGTAGTGTAATTTAATATTTTCATGGCAACGATATTTGAATTACATTTATAGTAACATCATATTACATTTTTAACCGGATTTTCGAAGTAAAAATTGGTTATTGATTTGGCGATTTACGGCGGTCGGGCGGACAGTCGGGCGGGCGGCTGCCAAACAGTGTCCGTTCATTTACATGAAAACGCTTTGAAGAATTTAGATATGTTGTTTCCTGTGACTAAATGAAGGTCAAGTTCAATTTTCACGATTTTAGCTTTTCTCGTTAGTCAGTTATTGCCCTTTTCCAGGAATTAAATTTTTGATGAATTAATCCATTTCTGTACGAAGGGAAACAACTAATTTTTAAAAAGATTTTTAAAATACATTGTATTATTGATAAATGACATATTAGAGCCTCTAGTTGTTTGATTTCATCAAAAATTGAATTCTTGGGGTTCTTTATATGCTGAATCTAACCATGTTTTACAAGTTCTTAGACCCCATTCATTCTATGTCAGAAACATATGCTGTGTCAAATATTTAATCACAATTTAAGAACTAATTGGTTAGAGTGTGTGGCTTACCAAAAGCGCTCTTTTTTCAATAATAATGTTTAGATAGAAAGAGCAACACAGATATTGCACCGTACCCTTACCATAAATTACAGGGTTTACTAAAGTAAAAATAAAAATGTTCCAGCATATGAATATTAAGTTAATTCATCTTTTTATTCTGCATAAAAAGGACTCTAGACGTTTGGGTAGCGAAATATGATAATTCGAGAGGGGCATCGATTTGATCATGGGTTGTATAAATATGCAGCCACACCTGGTCGGAATGTGGACTTTTAACCAAATATCTGATTTAAACATAATTTTACAGAACTGTAGTCTTTTCATATTCAAGAATCTTTGAACAATTGTTTGAGGGTCCATAGTTAAACTCTAGCAAACAGAACTTCTATTCCTGTCTAAAAAGCATATTTCCAGTTACAGTTGAAATTTCTTTCTATCGTTATGGTAGACCTGCTATGCAGAAATTAGTATTGGATTATTAGGTCTTTCCACTTTTCTGTGAAAAGACCTTTTGATTTTGTTCTGATTATTATTTTTTTTAAAGTGGTTTTGCAAGATGTTGCTTAGACTTTTTGTATATCATATCGAACATGTATTGCGCTTTTAAAAATCACAATGTTTAGCAAAAGACTTTTTAATGTAAGAGTAATATCCCCAAACACTGCTTTTCTTGTTATTGTATCTCCTCCGTTACCAAAAAAGATAACGACGAAATTCTTTTTCTTATTTGTTCGTTACCTCCTCAGGAATTTTTGGCTCATTTGGATGGAAGTGATCCGGTGAAATCTTATAGGAGTTATCTACCTTTACCAATTAAAGTTGTCTTTATGTTTTTGTAACTCATAAACCCTAGGCCGTATAAACCTAGATAGATATAAGAAGATGTGGTATGAGTGCCAATGAGACAACTCTCCATCCAAGTCAAAATTTATAAAAGTAAACCATTATAGGTCACAGTACGGTCTTCAACACGGAGCCTTGGCTCACACCGAACAGTAAGCTATAAAGGGCCCCAAAAAATAACTAGTGTAAAACCATTCAAACGGGAAAACCAACGGTCTAATCTATATAAAAAACGAGAAACACTTATGAACCACATCAACAAACGACAACTACTGAACATCAGATTCCTGACTTAGGACAGGTGCAAACAAATGCACCGGTTTAAACGTTTTAATGGTACCAAACCTTCACCCTTTTTCTTAAACAATAGTGTAACATCACAACATAGAAAGACACACTATAAAATATCAACTGAAATAGCTTAACTCAATCAAAGGACATATTAACACCATTGAACATACACTGAACAAATAAATTTGACCTATGACACAATGTAAATACAATATAAATAGAGTCTTTTTATATTAGGTCCTTGGGTCCTAACTTAGAAAATAAGGCCAAGGTCAAAGGTCAAGGTCATGTTTTCAATTTTGACTTTTGCTTGTTTTTGCAATTTCTCTGACACTTTTAAAGATATATAAAAAAGAACTAGTGCAAAATGTTTGCTATATTGTGATGAAGACATAATAGATTTGGTCTGATACAATCCAATGATAATTATAGAAGTTATTGCCCCTGAAATGTTTTAATTTAAGGTTAATTGATTATTACTTCAACTTGAACTTGAAAATGTCAACCAGAAGTGACCTTGAGTAAAACCGGAAGTAGCCATTTATGCAATTTTTTCATGGAAAAGTATCTAGAAACCATATATTTTTGTAATAGGCAAACAAAAGCCTATCATTTGAGACCGGAAGTGACCTTCAATAAATCGGAAGTAGCAAATTATCTCCCTAATTATAGGCAAAAGTATAAAGAAACCATATATTTTTGGAATCAGTGTAAATACAGCTATCATATGAGACCGGAAATGACATTTTCTGAACCGGAAGTCGCAAATTATCTCCTTTTTTCAGGCAAAAGTTTATAAAATCATTAATTTTTTTAGAAATTGTGTGAATAAAGCTGTCATATGAGACCGAAAGTAACATTTTCTAAACTGGAAGTAGCAAATTATCTTTCCTATTTTAGACAAAAGTATATAGAAACCATATATTTTTTGAATCAGTAGGAAAAAAACATTGGACGCCAATAGAAACTTTGAGTAAACCGGAAGAAGCTTTTCATCAATTACTTAGAAAATTGATGTGGAAAGACCTTCAATTGTTCTATGAACAATTAGTTTTTAATTGTTAATTTGTTTTCGTCCTGATGGTACATGAAATATTTGTCATTGAACATTTAACAAAAATAATCAGTCGAACAATCTATTTTAGAAATCGACTTTTGCATCTGTACTTTTTTCAAGTCTAATTTTGGCTTTTGTTCCTACACTTTAATTATTTTGCCTCGCTAGAAAGAAGAGTCAAGCTATGCCTCTGAAGAGTAAAGATTTTCAGACATCATTTTTAATACTAAAGGTACTAATTTTAATGCCCCCAATGCGTGCATTTTGACAAATAATGTATCTTCAGTGAGACTTGAGGCCAAAATATTTCAAAATCCAAAACCTAATACAAACGTTGCAGAGCTGACCAAAAGAATAGCCAAATCGGGACAAGGAATCAGAGCTTTGCATGAAGGAGATATAATTTCTTGATTTTAAAATAATTTACAAAATTTTATAATAGCAAATTGGAATCCGACAATATTCGTATTTTCATGCCAGGAAGTAATGGCTACTGGGTTGATGATAAAAAAGCAAGGGCATATTTTTTCTGTAAATTCACTGAAAATTAACATTCTTATGTTACCATTATTTTATATCACTTCAATGATTTTTTTATAAAAGATCCAAAAAAATGTAAATATTGTATGCTTATGCTTAGTGGCCAATTTAACTGACATCATAAGGGAGATTGCAAATTTTGTCATGAAAAAGTTTTTTTTTTAAATACTTTTTGCCAAAATCAATATAGTGCACATTTGCATCAACAAAGATTATTATCCCTGCATGGTGTACTGCGGGGGATATGGTAATTGTCTCCGTCTGTCTGTCCAAAACACATCAATAATAAAAGACCATATTACAGAAAGCTCTCATACTTGGTAGGATTGTCATGTGTAGTTGACAATATTGAAACACCATTTAATTTAACTATTTTTACAGGAGTTATAGGACTATGTTTTGCATCTCCTCTCAGACCAATTGTCAGAAAGCTCTTATACTAGATAGTATTGTTTGCAACCATGTGAAGTTGACAATATTGTAGCAAGGTTTTGTTTTAACCATTTTACAGGAGTAATAGGACTTGGACCATTTTTTTTATTGGTATGACATTGGCGTCGTCGTCGTCGTTGTAGTCGTCGTCGTCGTCGTCGTCCGAAGACACATTGGTTTTCGCACTCCAACTTTAGTTTAAGTTAATGGATCTCTATCACATTTTACCACAAGGTTCAATACCACAAAAGGAAGGTTGGGATAGATTTTGGGGGTTATGGTACCAACAGTTAAGGAATTAGGGGCCAAAAAGGGACCAAAAATAAGCATTTTTGTAACTTCCAGACATAACTTGTGTGTTAGTGTATGGATCTCTCTCACATTGTACCACAAGGTTTCTTATCACACAGGGAATACTGGGATTGATTTTGGAGGTATTTGCTTCAAAATATTAGGAATTAAGGGCCAAAAAAGGGGCAAAAAACAAGCATTTTTCTAGTTTCA